ATTTTTAAAAAATAATTTTTAAAATAATTTTAATTTTATAAAAAATTCAATAATTGTGAAGAGAGAAAATTGTGTTTTATAGATCAATACGTACAGTAAGGCCACGTGAAAACAATGAATGTCAACTTTGGCAGGCGCTAGTGGATCTGACTTTGGACCATGTGCTTCAGATTCATAATTCATGTCCTTTCAAAGCAGTCACTGTTATGGATATGAATCAAAGCAAACGCTGATTTCCTACGTCATTCCAATGGTTAATTATGAAAGGAAGTTTGGCAGCTTCGTTTTTTTTTTTTCGTTTTTTGAACATATTTGTAAAAAGTGAGTTTCGAACTTAGTCCGAAGAGAAGGAAATGCACTGGGTGACTATTGACACTAGGCCGCAAGGCCAGGTGCGTTTGGCAGCTTCGCTAAAGGCAGATACTGGAGTAATTTGCATCACGGACTTTTCAATTATCATGGTGACTTTGTCAAGGATATGAATGAAAACAAAAGTTATTTTATCCACATTTCTTTTTTTAAGCCATTTTAACAGTAATTTTCTCAAAAGGAAATTGACAAAAGTTAGGTACTAATTTTGGGCAATACTTCCTCAAGTCCCAGACATTTTGCTAATAATTTAAATACTTATGTTAAAATCTAATTGCACAGTTTGGCGTTTTTCATGATGTTAATATATTATTAATAATGAAAACCTAAACAAATTCATGGTATTAGATATCAAAAGGTTACTGTTTTACGACACAACAAATTTTGGTGACCAATAAAAGAAAAAGTGATTTTCAAGCATTTTTTTTGTTTCTATAACAGTTTGTCTAGTATAAGAATCAAAAAACTATTTATTAAAAAAAAAATACCGTATCCACTGAAAAAATTATGATATATTATTATTATTTAACCACAAATTAACCCGGTCAGACCTAACCGGTGCTCTCCTTTTTGGCAGTCTTAATTACTTTCTCTAAGATTACCACCAGGGAAATTGACACTCCTTACCACTATAACCCAAACAGCATCAGGATTTGGTAATGTCAAGAAACAACAACCGAGGTACATAACACATGTATAGCTAGATTAATAAAAAATCTAGTTGCAACATCACGTTTTATAAATGAAGATACATATA